CAGTTGCAAAGGGGATTGGAGTAAGCCCGATCTTTGGTTGGTTGTTCGGAATAACAGCTCAATTTTTCACCCGCAGTAGCAAAAAAGGCCACGACTGTGTCAATTAAGAATATTTGTGGTCAACTAAAGAAAGAGTAATCATTGGGCTTGAAATTTTATGGAATTTGTATTGAAAATTCGTTTCTTATTTGTTACACTGACAGTGATTTATTTATCAAAAATGGATTTAAAACAATTGTTCAAATGTAAATACGTAAAACAATTTGTCAAGTCAAATATTATCATTTTATTTTTTCAACATATTGGTAATATATTTATTAACGGCACTTCAATTTTTTTGCTAATAGCGAGCAGTTTGGTAACTGTATGGTAACTAAGTTACAAGTTTCATACTGCAACAAAAATAGATTGGGCCATGAAAAATGCCGCAACGAACTTTATAGCGTTGAAATTTACCCCTAATGCACAATAGCTCACGCGGAAAAACAATACTTTCACTTTCCGGTAGCAGATTTTATCACCTAGCGTAATGTCATTAGTCGCCTATGGGCTGGAATAATACGATAAATGAGGCTGACGAAGAGGGCGCGGCAGCTTCAGAGTCAATACTGAATAAAATTAAAGAATTTACAAAAAAAATGTAGTATTTGAATTCCCGTCTCTTTCATTGATACAATTATATATTAGTTTATTTTTGATTAACATGCTGAAAACTGGAAAGGTTAAGCAGTTAAGAAGTAATACCGAATAATATGTAATGGAGTCGTAGAATATACAGGGTGATTCAGTCATAATGTCATTAATTTTAACCACATATTCGGAAGGCCTAATAAAGACAGAAAACCGAAAAAAAATGTTACTCGATCTTTTAAAGAAATAAGCAAACTCCCGTAAATTCAGCGCCCTGCTTTGCATCAGATTTGCTGACTGGGAACGCGCTGACGGACCACATAGCATTCGAATGTTGAAGCAAAACAGCTGATTTCCCCAGTCACCTTACAATTGATATCATAATCAAAGTGCAGCACAACTTAACAAAGTGCTATGGACGGATGAGCGAGTGTTTTTTTAGCCGTACTGTCATTTTAAATACCATACTACTATTTGAAAAGCAATAAGTCACACAATAAGGTATACGTACTACCAACTGAATAATTAATTGAACAAATGAATTGAACACAATATTAAAAACTCATAATCAATTATAAAACATAAAGAAAACGTTCAATATTATAAATTCTAAATTGCAATAACCTAACATCCGAAAACAATAATTATTATCCTTATACGTTTCTTCAAACATAACAATCTTGTTAATATTTAAAATGTGGAAATTTGTATGAGTTGTATCTTCGAGTTAGTAGGCATTTTTAATTTTCGCCAAAGTTGACGTAATCCTATATCTCTCTTCTTATACTAAACATCGTAAAACGCTGGAAATAATCTACAAACGCTTTTTTTAAATATATGCCACAATATTTGCTTAAGGATGGAAACTGATGCATTTCTGGTTGCCTAAATTATACCGAAAAATTGTAGAAAACAGCCCTTTTTTTATTCCAATATATCTTTTTAAAGCAATGGAAGAAAGTAGTAAAATTTCATATCACATTTGGCAAAGTATAAATGAAGACAGTAAAGCAAAAATTAATTGGGATAGGTAAATAATTCGTGAGAAATTAATTTCTAAATATGAAGGTTTTTTGGACTTTTACAAAGAAACGATTATTTCTTCATAGTATTATAGAATTATGCAATTTTTTATATAGTTGTCTTTAAATAAATAAACTGATTAGACTTTATTTCATAGTTTGTTCATCACTTTATTATTTAAAAAGTTATATTGGAATAAAATTATTAAAAAATATTCATTCATGAATAGCATTATCTCCGACTTTTAATTCGCTTGATTTGTAATAGATGTCGCACTAGTAAAAATTTATTTATGAATGGACTCGGGTTATTTTTAACGAACAGCTGTTGTATGTGGTTAATTTGGTATAACCTGATTCTGAATTGGTAGTCATGGTTTCTGTTAATTGATACGTAAATATTTAAAGAATGTCATGATCATTTTAGATATATTTTTGTATAAAAGTATATAAGTAACAGTGCAAGTCCATACTATTATATAATTTTAGAAAATATGAAATATAAACAATTTTTAGTTTATTTAAAACCATAATTTATAATTAATATACCTATATTAGTATCTACGGTTAGTGGATAAGAGGGAAAACATTTTTATTTTCTATTCTACTAGAAAAAGTAATTCGTGACAAAAAATATTTTGCTTTTTAATTGAATATGTTTGTCATGAAAAACTGTAATTTATATATATACACGGTGATCAGAAATTTAACAAAATTAATAACGTTGAAGAATAAACTGCTTTTGTTTTTGATAATATAAAAAAATGTTAATAAGAAAAGTTGTTCATAACGGAAAGTTATGTTATAATTACGATTTGTGAATAAAGCGGCTTACTTTGGTATAAACAGAAATGGAAAATATTATATTTTTAATAATTAATATTAAGTAATTCTTGATAAAAAAAATTCGCATATTAATATAAATAGAATTTTAATTGTGAATATACATAATAATGAGAAAATATAAAAAATATGTACGATATACTTATTTTGTCCAAAAAATGTGTAAAGAATTATGTACAAAAGGACGATTTGAGTCTAAATTTTTTTTATGAGAAATAGGTATTCAGTTCACTTCACTTGAAAAAATAGTTGTAGGTACTTTAATACCTCCAATATAAACAGAAATTCTGTGGAACAGTGTAGTTTAATAAATATGTAAATAAATGAAAGTAATAAAGAAATAAATAGAATAGGTACAGTAGAACAGGAAAAAATTTAAAAAATCATAAAATAAAATTATTTCTTTTTATTAATTTGAGCTTCTATAATATATTCTGGATCCATACATCTTTTTCCTTGTGGAATATTTTTGTATATTATTTCTGGTAGTATACAATTTTTATAAAATTGTTCCAAATTTGTTGCCATTGATTTTTTCCATAATTCTTCATCTTTCTTAATTTGTTCTACATAGAGCGGGTTGTTTTCACCACTATAGGTATATTACGAAATAACATATAGACTTCTTCCGGTTATATTTAACTGTCTCTGTATCTGAAAGTAAGAAAAGAATTTTACCAGATAATATTTGTTATAAACATAGATAATTATACATTTTTACCTATTATGCTTTTGATTTACCATAATGATATATCTAGTCATATATAGGGTGCCACAATAGTGCGATAAAGTTTAGTATAACTGCCTGTAGTAGTGATACGAAAAAAGTTACTTGCTCGGATTCACATTTTATTATTATTTCCATTATTCATTATTTTCAGACCGAATTAAACGTTCAGAAAATCTTGTTTTTGGCCTGAAGATTTTGCCCTATACAACTATAACTGAAAATAATTATAAACTTTGTCACACTATTGGAACAGCCTGTATGTGCATTGCAACGACAATATGTCATATTTATATTACGGCTAAGTAAGCGGAAAGTCCATTGTCGCATATGTAATTTTTATTTTCAAATAATCAAATACAATACCTACATATTTATTTTAATATCTATTATTTACTTGAATTTAGTACTAAGTACAACTATGCCTAGCAAATTGTAATACTTACTCTGTTAATGTTTTTTCCTTCATATAAAAAATAGTAAACTCCACAAATAAAATATTTCGCAGCCACAACGCAACAATAAAAGATAACAGCTCAAAGATCCATACAAGAAATAATTACATTCGCACCTACTCTGGTCCGAATCCATATAAGTACTAAAATGTAGAAAATAATATGAAATAAAACTTTGAGTTGGCTGCAAATATTATAAATTTGTACAACCACTTGCCATCCTCCTTTTTTGTAAATATGTACATAATAATATGTAGAAGATAGAAAATAGAAATATTTTCAGAACAAAAAACCGGCGGCCGCAAATTGGAGTTTTTATTATTTTATTACCCTTCTCTTTTCATATGCAATTATGAGATAGCAAGAGAGTGGGATGGACGTATAGGCCGGACAACTCATTATCGTGCACGTGTGCGTGCACCTGGCATTTTCTCGTTTTTTTTTAGGTGTGTTTGCCGGAATTTGGATGAATGAAATAATCGTACTATTTTTACTATAAACGTATTTCCTGTAGCGACATCTATACGAATATTGTAGTACTTTGTTAGATGAAACGGGACTTCAATTTCCGTTCTTAAATACCAGTGGCGGCTCATCAGGTGACGCAAGTGGCGCACCGCTTCACCTAAAATTTCCATTTTGTTGTGCAATTTAAAATTATTTTTAATTTTATAATTTAGATATAATTCTTTATTGAAAATGTATTGTGTTTGTTTGTTTAATACGCAGAAATAAACAGAATAGTTGCGCGGTGAACGCCTTCTAAAAAAAGTTTGCCTTCGTTGAGTGCGAACCTCGTACCATACAACGTACAGTATACGCAGATTGAAATCAGTTTGTATTCCGCTTCTCTTCGAAGCGTTGTTTACGGCGGTTGTCATGACAACGAGGCGGCCAACACGGGAGTAAAATCTTATATTTTATGAATTGTGAATCACATCACTCTGTATTTGCTTAAAAAATGCTAGTTCACCGTATCAAATAAATAACTGCAGTTCTCCAATAGGGGTAACAAAAGCTTTTACAAGTTGCTATAATTCAAATTACTTTTCCTTCAATTTACCCTCACCACATTCGGCAGCAGCTCACACCTTGAAAATAATCAGTGCTCTAAATTTGGTTCCTCAGTAATGCAATCTTGCTTATTCTGCTGCTTCCACAGAAAAATATTGTTTCTGTATTTGCTTGTCAGCTTGTTGGCCGTCCTCTCGCCGAATTCCCTCCGAAAGTGCCAAGCTGTCGACGTAAGATTCCCGAATTTATCGTCCGGCGGACGCCTCATGCAATTTAATGGGCTTTCAGCTACTAATATGTCACACTAACCTGAAATTAAGTCGGCAGACAGCTCCAGCGGCGGCGGAGGAGGCCGGGAGCACGGGGTCCTCGTATCTGCGCTGCGCCCAATCGGTGATGCGGCCGTCCGTGGTGATGACGTAATGCAGGTCACGTTCGCAGGGGCATGTTGATAAAATGGCCACGTGCGCCTCTTCCTCGGGCTGCAAACGCCAGAACATAAATATAATTAATAGATACAGAATGAAAGCTTTTATTTTCGGTGTAACGTATGGCGTTTTTGGTGGCGGAAGAAATGGTACTCTTCACAGTAACAAATTGTGGAGAGCGAGGAATATAAAAGAACATTTTTTATAAACTCTAATACAATCTCCGTCCGTGGCTTGAAACATGGAGCGACTAAAGCATCAATTATTATCCATCGAATATTTTTATTAGTTGTAATGTTTGAGGCTTCATGGAGGACTTTTAGAAATACAAAAATTTGTTACAGATAAAAAAAATACGCGTACAAAAATTTATATAATAAATAAAGTAAATAAAACAAAAATGACAATATAAATACGTAGAAAATAGGTATGTGTATATTTAGGAAAAAACATATAATTGAACATTAGAAACAACTAGTGATGTTAAATTACTTGTAATTTATGAAAATGTAATTTTACTGGTAACATTTCATGTAATTTACAAATTAGCTTGTAATTTATGTAATTTATGACATTTAAATTTTACGACATTTTAAAGTGTACTCAGCTTGTTTAGCTTCTTAGTACTCAGCTTCTACAAAACTAGTCCTGCAATTCAATGATTAAAAAATAATATTTGTCCATTTTTATGCAAAAAATTAAAATTTTTATTCATATAAGTAACATTCATATAAGTGCAGCAGTAAAAATAAAATAAATCAAATCTAAATACAAATATTTAAGTTTCTATTTAAAACAGCTTTCGTTTCTTTAAGCATTTGTTTTTCTGGGACTTAGGCCTTTTTTGGTAGAATATATTACAATTAACAGTTTTTAATTCTTCGTCGTTTATTTCTGTTTCCTTTTCTACCTCTTTTGTTCTATCTATTTCTGTCAGTTCGGTCTTTGCATGGTCAACCTAAATTTTAGTCAAAATTATGAACGAAAAATGCAACAACGAAAAACAAACCTTTTCAAGTGAAATATTTTGTATAACAATAACACGCCTTTTTTCATTACATTTTGCCTCAAATCCTTCATTTCTTTCAGGTAATACCTTATTCTTATAGCTGTTTTACATTGACAATTTATTGATGAATTAATTCATGAAGTCGCTTCATCAAGAAATTGGACAAGTGTAATGCTTGGTGCATTACACTTGTCGAATTTCTTGTCTACTGTCAAATAACTTCATGAATTTATTCATCAAGTTCTTGACGAATTAGAACATGCTCTAATTTTCGTCAATTTCTTCGTGAAGTTCAGAAGTACCAACCCAACAGATTTCCTGCCTCAGATCAGTAATGAGGTTATGTTATTGGAATATGTAAATAATTGTGTGGCGTCGTACTAGTTTTGCATTGTTTTTACTGATTTGTTACTTACAAAAACTAATATTTATATAATATGTGTCAGAACGGTACCGCTGTTGTATCACTACAATTATGAGTGGAAAGGTGACATTTTTGAAATTTATTTGCTTCTTTGATTCATTGGTAGAACTGATTCATACGTCAAAAAACTTGACAAAGTCTGTAGCAGTGTAAAACCACACTGTTTACCAATAAATTCGTGAATTAATTCATGAAGAACTTCGTTAATTTATTCATGAATAAATTGTCAATGTAAAAGAGCTATTAGAGCTTGTATAATCCTGGTCCTCATCCTCACTATTACCATACTCTTCAGAATGAATGCTACTATTGCTAAAATAAAAGAAAGGTTATAAAACCTTAAATGTCAAAATTGAAATTGGCGCGATATATAAAATTAAGTGTAAATTAACATTAATTACAGTAAATTACGTAATTTACGTAAGTTACAAAAATTACATAAATTACATCTGTTATCTCGCGGTGCGTAATATTACGGTAATTTTATAGTAATTTATGTAAGTAACAATTTGTCATTTTACCATTTACATCACTAGAAACAACATAATACAAAAATATTACATGTTAAATGTAGACTGGAGTATATATTTGTTAGCATTTGGTATATGGATCAATGCCTACGTGACTTAACTATAAACAATGTTGTAGCATATTTTAATCTCGAGTTAGTTCTGACCTTGCAATGTATCGAGATAGACGCACGGTGAGGTGGTTGGGTGGATCAATTATAAAAGTTGTGTATTAATTAACAGTATTATTAAACTATTTATCATAATATTACCCTGATTCTTACAT